CACACACACACACACACACACACACACACACACACACACAACAACAACAACACACAGGCGCAGCCGTAGTCGCACACTTCACTCCAATCCAGCACGTGACCCCCACTGCTCCATTGCCAGTCACACGCACAGGACGTAAACATTACCCATGGGTTCCATGGGCCCCTGCCCACCACCAGTAAGATTGGGGCAATTGTGGAAAAAAGAAGAAGAAAAAAAAGACAAGTCGACAACCCCCACCAAATTTCAAGCCCGAACGTGATCCACTGGATATGCTCATGGCAACACTGTGCACTTCGATAGATAGAGCCCAGTAGGTACCCTTCTTTTTTCCCTTTAATTTTTCCATAGGCCTAAGATGGGATTTCTTTATTCTTTGTGCTGTTGTTGACTAGATTGTTAATACCCATTTGGCATTTGCATGTCAGTAGGTTGGTCTAGTATTCAAAATTACAAGAAAGAGCACATGATAGTTTTTATAGTTCTGGAAGTCTGAACAGTTCAATACGCACCTGGCGACATCGCCACGGAGAAGATTTAGCAGAATTGTTTCCGCCATATCGTCTGCATTATGACCGGTCACCATCTTGTCCGCTTGCATCATGTGCGCCCCACGGTCCAGCGCCTACATACACAGGTGAATGAGATCGACATCGACACCACAAACTTCTTCCTTTTTTTTCCCGATCTACATCCCGGCATGATAAGTCACCGTAATAAGTTTAATAACATAACAAGCCCATGACTCTCCGAGGATCCTACTCGTTGTAATCAACGATTCCAAATATTCAACCGTTTCAACGTCATGGCAATTGAATTACAACTTTGGTTTCCTGCTGATTGCCCCAAATCTTGGATTGTTCCTCAGTGTGAGAATTCGGAGGGCCAAGATTCGTAGGGGTTCCCAGCAAATAGCCCAGTGGTAAGAGACAACTTTACAGCTCCCCGGAACTCAACAAAAAAATTGAAAAAAACACACTGTGTGGTAAACCTGAAGTATTACAAAAGACTAAAATGAGAGATAAAATGGAATGAACCGGGATTCTAGCACGTATAACCATAACGCAAAAAACTAAAGCGATGCTTGAAAAAAATTCAAAAAATAGAAAAAAAAGTACCATTGTAGTGATCAATCTTTCTCTAGCTAGCGAGCATACAGCCTTTGCTTTCTTCCGAGTATCTTAGATTGCTTTGGCTTTGAGAAGTCGATCATCAAACACTCCATATGCTCGTGCACATAATGTGAAGGCCACACAGTAATACACACATTCACAAAAAGAAAGGAATGAAAAAAAAAAAAAGGGCTACACACTGGTTGGTCACTGTTGACCATCAATTCAAATGAATAGAAGCAAATCAAATGTTAGAACTTTGTAAGTCTAAACTTCAAACCAGCACTACCCCCGGCGGAGAACCAGATATGAAATCTGAGAAAATCTTTCACGAGTGCATGCACTGCTACACACAAACGCGCACACAGTACACTCAACTCATAGTCGAACACAGAGTGTTTTTTTAGAACACGAAGTGTTTAACAATTGACAACAGATAAACTTGATTTGAAAACAGAAGTTCACAGTGGTAGCGATTTTCTCCGTGCTAAGCCCACTTCCTCAAGTTACACACCCGTCTTCACCCGATACTTACACCTTCCTTCCACTTACCCACTCATGTAGCACGCTGGCTGGTCGCCATGAGACGAACCAGTCGCGTGTCTTCACTCCGTTGTCAAAGAGGAGGATAACCCTACGGCCTAACTGCTATATACTAACTCGCTATACTACTCGTACGTCAACTCACTTCGTCAATTCCCATGGAAGAAAAGGCAAGATGGAAAAACTCAAAAATCTCGAAAAAGGCAACAACAAAACACAGGAAAGGATCAGACGCAGGTTGCAGCCAGGTGAACTGCGGAAGTAACGGACAAAGTCCAGTCGGTACCTACGGAAATTACGACAGCTTTAACAATTGGGCTGTCAACTTCCAGATCCCGTCCTTCCCGGTCGCAAAATCATCTAGTACCTTCTGAAAAAACTCATTCGGGAAGCCTTTCGCCCGGTACTCCCTTCTCACAAAAAGCACCTGGACAGGAATCAGTCCACGTTCGGTACTGTTCCTGTCAAGATGGTGCAGGCAGCCCGTGACCGCAGCTATCTTCTGCTTCCTGCCAGTCCAAAACTTAAAATCTTGTCCGGTCCGTATCACAAGCGGCCTATCTGACCAGTCGTAGCCTGATTTTTCACCTTCTGGATACTACCCAACAACGGGGGGCTCTGCCTCACTTTGAATCGGCACCCCAGGAAGTCCCAGGTACCTTTTCCGTCACCGGTCCGTTTCAAGGTAAGGTTCTCAGGGTAGTTTTTTTCAAACTTGTCCCGAACAGCCACCGCCCTTGCCAGTGACTCCCCATCCCCTTTCCTGTACGCCAGGAATAGGGACACGTCGTCAATGAGGCGAATCCCTACCACAAGTCTCCTGTCAGCACCCAAAGAGCTCAAAAACCGCTACTCCGCAAATGCACACATGATGCACGTGAGTGGCGGGCTCGTACTTTTTCCCATTGGTACTCCCACGACTTGTCTCATCAGCACACCGGATGCCCGGGTTACTGTATGCATCAAGTGAAACGAACTCACGAACCTCATTCAGGCTTACGGTCCACCACCTCTCCCTGCTTCTTCTATCGAACACCGCTCCTTTTCCCCTCGGGTTCACACTTACGGTTCTCCTACCTTTCTCCAACTGCAGCTCGACCACCCAGTCTACCGCGCGGACAATCTCACTGTGTGGTAATCGACTGAACATGTTTTTTACGTCGTAGGATGCTGCCAATATTCCAGTCTTCTTTCCCATTCTCTTAAGTGACTTGTTTGCTCCTTCAAGCCTTTTCGCCAGGTCCAAGACAGCTTGCAGATTGAAATGATCTTTCTCAGGTACTGCACACAGCAGCAAATTCAGGACCTTCGCCATCTTTTTTGCTGATTGTATTTGAAGGCTCGCTGAAGGTGGGGCAAATGGGTCAGAACAAATCCAAAACCTTCTGTTTCGGGATCACGTGACTCCTCCCTGCCTTTCCGTTTGTCTTCCATTTGCCGTTAGTCTTCCATTTGCCCATCTGTCCAAATCCTTCTGTTTCGGGAGAACCAGGCCTGCGCCGGTATATGTGGAGGCTGCAGGCAGGTTTGACCTATTGGGGAGCGATGGGGGTGCCAGAGAGGTGGGGAAGGAGGGTTCAACCTCAGCAACATTTGCTCTCATCTCCTTTGATGAAAAATTCAGGAAAAAAAAAATCATGGTTGTAGACTAGGCTCCGCTGTGTTAAGGGGAATAATAAGAAAAATATTAGGAAAAAAAAGGAAAAATATTAGGATTTGGAAAAGTATTAAAGTAATAAATATTGGAAAAGCTCAAAAATATTAGAGACATATTAGAAACACCCCAGAAAAATATTAGGGAAACAAATTCAAAAAAAAAAAAAAATAGACAAGTAATATTGTAAAACTATTAGAGACACAATGACACATTAGAAACATACTAGAAAAATATTACAAGAGTGTTCAGAAAAACAGTACAAGAATTACAAGAATATTAGAAAAAATAAAAAATGATTAAAAGATCATGGGCACAGGGTAGGTTCCAAAGTGCTTGCTAAAAGTATTAGAAAAATTTAGAACAACAAGCAAACAGACATATTTTGCATTATTTTCCCTGCCCATAGGGTTGCCCCCTCCTCCTGCTGCTGCTGCTCGTTATTTTACTTTTGCAAGGAATATGAGCGAGAGTGATAGACAGAAATCCCCCTCTCACTGTGTGTGCCCAGGGCGCAACCACCTGAGCCCTGGACTAACTGTACAGCGCAGCTGTTGCTTCTGGAAGAAAACTGGGAAGGCTCACGTTGCTCTGTAACCAACTGGCATGCTGCAACTGTCTGGTACCCCACATACGAAGAATGGCAAAAATAGGCCTCACGTGGATATGCAGGCCCGCCTTCACTTAGGGCGGGCACGATGCTTGCTGGGGCCTGAGCCCAGAACGTCTGTGTGCCAGACGAGGGCCTTGCAAGGGCTCAATCCTCGGATTCCTCGCACTTTTGTTTTCATATCAAATATTATCAAACATAAATTTGAAATAAAGTTCTATGAACTTATAAAGACTATTATAAAAGAGCTAATACATGTGCGAGGCACAAGGCCTCGATATGCCCTACAGGGCCTTATTGTCAGCGCAATCAGCCGCCCTAAGTGAAGGCAGGCTCGACCGAGGCCTACAGGCCATTTTTGGGGTCACCACGCAACTGGGGAAATTCAGGCAGTTGCACAACGCCAGTTGGTTGAGAGCGCCCAGGCCCAGGCTGCCTCCTGCGAATGTAACTGAGGCAGGCCCTGGGCCAGATTCGCTACATGGACCAAACACAGGCCGTGGGCAGTTGGACATGCGCAACCACCACAGGCCCAGGGCCTGTTTTGTTGGGACTGGGGCTCAGCCTCTTTGGGCCTACCGGAAGCTTCTGGGGAGGGCCCCCCCGCAGCAAGGCTGCACGCAAGCAGGCAGGCCACCTCCATTTAGGAAAGTGCCTGCCCACGCATTCGGCATTCGGGCACTGGCTGCATGCTGCACAAGCGCTGCTGCGCTAACGCTGGCCAGCGCTCACGTGCTCACGGGCGAGCTGGAAGGAGCAAGCAGCCATAGCTGAGCTGCGGTGCTGTATGCTGGATGGGGCGCATGGTGGTTCTTGGGTGCAAGTGGCATCTGTGAGTTGGGGATCGAGGTTGTGAGTGATACGAGAGACATACCTGGTGCTTGAGGCGAACGGCATTGGCCGAGATCTGCTCATACTTCGGGGAGTTGTTGACGTCATCAGCAGCATTGTAGATAGGCTAGATAGGATCTGCCATCTGTAGTCTGGGCGCCGAGCACCAGATAGGATATCGACATTGATTCTTCATTGATGATGATGAGACTATTCCAGCATTGTCAATTATCAGCTTTTGCTGTGCTCTTATTTGGTTGAACTCATGATGCGATTCTGCTATTGGTTCGAGGTCACGACTATCTGGTCTCATGTGTGTGATGCTGTTTGATTTCTGAAGTTCGCTATCGCTCATTTTCCTTGCACATGCGAACGATATTGAGAAAATTGATTAGCATGATAGCATCGCCCCTGCGCAAGGATGACACACAATTATCGAGAAATACTCAAATCTATATTTCGAAAAAAAAAAAAATCAAACACAGCGCATGCATTTTACTTACTTTCAGTTGGTACTTTAAAGAGGGAAACATTTGCAGGAGGAAAACAACAAAAACAAGCTTATGCACCCCGTCCCCCCCCCCCCCCCCCCCCCCTCCCCCCCAACAAAAAAGCAAAAATACTTTTGCAGTTTGGGGAAGGCTGGGTAAGAATTGCACACTTGCACAAGGCGAGGTGAGAGTGATTGCGCCATTCGGTAAAACAGGTTCGGACTTCAAACCTGGCGTCGAAAAACCCCACAGAAGGTGCAGTTGTTCTTCTTCCCAATCTTCCGGACAATCTCGTCCATCGTCCACCCATACAGGGACTTGTATGACAGAACTGTCAGGGGCATTCCATACTGGCACACAAATCAGATCGAAAAATATGATGAGTTGCATTAACTAGCATATCATGTCCGCCACGAGGGTAAGGCCTCACATGGTGTGGATATTTTCTACATGAATTATGTGTTCTGTTTTCATTTTCCTTCTTCTAATTAAACCACAAGTTCACCTGAGCCTAAAAGTACGAACCAAAGAAAAAACAACCCCCGCGGCCTGAAACATCACTCCTACCTGGTCAGTGATCACACCAACTTCGATTGAAAATTTGAAATATGCATTCAGTTGGGCACAAGAACCAAACGACTCTTGTTTTTTTTTTTTTTTTTTTTTTTTTCCGATACAGACTAACCTAAGCAACATTCATGATTATTTTTTGGAATTTTTCGTCGCCGGGAAAAATAGAATAAAAAATTGGTGCAGTCAGGGTACTCGCAATTTCCTCCCCCCCCCCCCCCGTACCCCCCTCTGGTCCAAGAGGCTGAAGTGGCCGGGTCACTCTGTGCCCACCGGAAAGAGCCCAACTTTCGCTTGGCTGAGCTGGTGGTTATCCGCAAAGAACTCATTTTTTGTTGATAAGGACTATCAGCCAAAAACATAGAGAAAAGGAGCATCATTGCCAATCAGTAATTTACAACAGCAGGGCTGATTGCCCCTTAGATAGCCCTACTAGGCCCCTTGGGTAGCCCCGGATGCCCCTGTCCAGGAGCCCGTTGGGTAGCATCAACTGGGCCGGCTCAAGGAATTCCCCTCCAATAGCCCCAATGCCCCCCTTGAAGAGTCACTTGGACAAGGCCAGCAAACGCTTCACCTAGGAAGTCCCAGTTTCTCCCTTTGGAAGGCCCCTTGGGTAGCTCCCGTGCCTGTCTTCGGGAGGCCATTGCCGTCTGCACACCCACAGTGGAGCCCTTGGAGAATCCCTTGGGCAACTCCAGTCCATGGACCCCTTGGAGGGCCCCTCGGGTGGCTCTAGTGATGCAGGGGCTCAAACTTACGACTGGAGAAGAATCCATAGTGAGGCTCGGGCTCCACTGGGCTATGCCTATGCCTAGATCTTGAAATCCAACGCCTATTATCGGCAGTTGAATTTTTGCGACTGGATTGTGACCATCTGATTGGCCCCACAAAGACCTAGACAAAAGTCCAGCGAGGCCTGCTTTTGAGGCGCAAGAGAGTCCCGGGTTCATCCTTCACTGTGTTAGTTCCCTGTACCTGCTTTTCGTTCTGCTTGTCCCCACAAAGACCGGGACATAGTCCAGTGGGACCTGCATTTGGGGCTCGATAGGGCCCAGTTCGTCCCTCACTGCGTTAGTTTCCTGTACCTGCTTTTCGTTCCGCTTGACCGTCTCCAGCGAATCGTCACGATAGCCCTCGATCCCTTCATCTATCGAGAGGAGAAAGAGGTCCAACCCGTATCCATGTCTTTTATTCAGCAGGCTCATCAAGTGTGCCAGCACAGTGGAATCTGCAATTCCCAAAAAGGTCACACAGGTCCACCAAGCCAACAAAACAGAAATAGACAGGTAGAGGGTCAATGCAAGAGACCCTGTACTCTACCCAACCCATGTGGCTGAATGGTACGCACATGCAGCGGGTAATGAACAGATCATGAATACACATCCTGACGGGATCAGATGGATAAAATAATTTGGCACATCTGGAAGGTACTGCACTCTGAAACTGAGGAGAACATGTGCACCCAAACCTGACTTTCTTTTTCCGAAAAAGAAGACCCTGTACTGAGGTAGTCCCCAGGCAACAGCTGATTTTGGATATCAGGTCATTTAAGCATCAATTGACACACAACCACTATCCCTTTCATTCCCTTGTGATATCTGTCAAAAAAGGAACGACACAGCGAAGATTACCATGGCCCAATTTATAGAAATGTAACGAAGGTTGAAAAAAGGCCACTCACCGACACCCCGGCGCTGTGGTCCTGTTCTGCCCAGAAGGCTGAAGCAGTATATTTATTTATTGGGACAAGCTAGGATACTCTGGTGCAGGGTAATGGATACCCCCTTCCTGGAAGATAGGAGGACATATTTGGTGGGTAGTGAGCTTCCAGCGACATGGATGCAGTACCAAAAGCACATATCACAGCTCATAAGACAAGATGTGTGGTGGACGATATGGAAGAGAAGGTGCCAACAGGCGATCGGGAACAAACCTATGCATAGACTGGAAGTGAAATAGATTCTTCGTAGTCTGGTGGAGACAGACATACTGCAGGCAGGCACAGCAGAACCCACTACAGGCTAAGATATTAGTGGAAAGCTACCTGAAAAAGGGTATTAGATCAAGGCAAGGTAGCAATCTTGGAAGGTACTACGCTGAGTCTGCAATGTTTCGGGGGATACAGAGCTAGGATTTTGGGGTTTAGGGTTTAGGGTTTTAAGCTGAGGAGTAGTGAGGAAGAGAACAGGAGTGGAAGATGTATTTTATTTTGGGTCCCGCTTGGGTCTCGTTAAAAGCATAACACTGAGTAATGCTCCCAGATCTGGTCTTTATGTGGGGTGGCCGACCCCTTCTTTGCTTAAGTAATAAAACTTATTATAAAAGGAAACTGATACACAGCCTCAGAGAACAGCAAATGGATAGTCTTGTAGTACACAGATATATCTCCTTGTGGCATTGGTGCAGGAGGCCAGAGGGAGGTATGGTGGCTATATGGTGCAGTCTAGGTTTCGTGGACCATTGGCTAGTATGTGATCAGCTGCAGGTTAGGCGGTTCAGCGGAGGTCTACTAGTAGTGGTGTAGGTTTGGTAATCCACTGCAGGATTGGACCGGTGGTCCAATGTGGCAGGTTTGGAAGTTTAGGTTGGCAGTTCAGTGGAGGTTTGGTGGGCCTGTGTAAGTTTGGTATCCACGGCAGGCTCCATGATTCCTGGGTAGGACCGGTGGTTCAATGTGGCTGGCTTGGCAGTTCAGTGGAGGTTTGGTGGGGCAGCGAGGTTCGGTGATCCCCTGCAGGCTTGGTGATCCAGGGTAGGACCGGTGGTCCACAAAAGTGGTAGGTTTGGAAGTTTAGGTGGCAGTTCAGTGGAGGTTGAGTGGTCCAGTGTAAGTTCCGTGATCCTTTGCAGGCTCAGTGATTCCTGGGTAGGGCCGGTGGTCCGCTGTGGCAGGTTTGGCAGTTCAGTGGAGGTTTGGTGGGCTAGTGTAGGTTTGGTGATCCACTGCAGTATTGGTGATCCAGGGTAGGACGGCAGGTTTGGAAGTTTAGTTTGGTGGGCCAGTGTAGGTTTGCTAAGCCACCACAGGCTTCGCTATCCCGGGCAAGATTGGTGGTCCGAAAGTGTGGCAGGTTCGGGAGCTCAGTGTAGGTTTTGCAGTCCAATGTCGATTCAGTGCTTCAGTGTACACTTGGGGTGCTTCGATGTAGGTTCAATGCTCCGGTGGAGGTTTGACAAAAGCTGTTTGGACCTTTGGACATGATTTGGGAAAGGTGACAATGGGATATGGTGGAGGTTAGCTCCAGCATCAGCGGAGGAGGAGGAGAAGAAGAAGAAGAAGAAGAAGAAGAAGAAGAAGAAGAAGAAGAAGAAGAAGAAGAAGAAGAAGGAAGCCGGAGGCGAAGAAGCAGAAAGAGGAGGAGGAGGAGGAGGAGGAGGAGGAGGAGGAGAAGAAGAAGAAGAAGCAGCAGCAGCAGCAGCAGCTGCTGCTGAAGAAGCAGAAAGAGGAGGAGGAGAAGCAGCAGCAGCAGAAGAAGAAGAAGAAGAAGAAGAAGAAGAAGAAGAAGAAGAAGAAGAAGAAGAAGAAGAAGAAGAAGAAGAAGGGAGGAGGAGGAGGAGGAGGAGGAGGAGG